ATGAGAATCCGCCGTCGAGGCATATAGTCGGGCAGGAGGGCGTTGCGAGTGTCAAAGAGAAGCTAAAGACTGTTAGTGAGGAGCTGGAGGATTTCATCCAGTGTAGTTTTGCGGTTGGTTATGCCGCCGATGCGGAGCAGAGCCGGGCTGCGAGGGAAGAGATTATGGCCTTTAGCACCAATAGTGATCCATTCTGAGATATCTTGTCTAGTTATCTACTTAAATAATGCCTCGATACCTGATTGCAAATGGGGTCTCAGAATATAACACAGCAGTACAATAGAACAGCAAATCTTTCAGGTTGGGTAGTGTAGAGTAGATAGCGTTTCACAAGGTTCAGATTCCAGCAATGGCCATGATGGTTGATTTATCCGTTCGCTCCAAGGAAAGTAGCTCAGACGCTGTAGGCTATGCAAGTGGAAGAATGCAGAATGTAAGATGTTGACGGGTCGATGAACAACATGAGAGAAAGATAGAGTCAAGGATGCTCTTCTGGTGTCTTGTTCTCAGGGGAATTGTTATCTTATCTGCGTTTTCACGTACCAGGCCTGTCTGACTTCCCACAGGGTACCCATGTCCTGGTTATTTCGGAAACACCGAATTTCTTTCCAGGCGTTGCCGTTGGTAGGTTTGACGCGGCCGTCGACTTCCAGCATCTTCAGTGTTAGTCCTGTAGGGAGGGTTACATTGCGGACGATAATTTCGTCAGATTCTTCGTTTATCGTGGACGATGATGATAATTCTCCATGATTTGCAGGATTGATATCCGCCATCATTTCTTGGTTACCATTCTGGAGTTCCGAGGTAGGTTCATCGTGATTCTCGGCGTTTTGCATGGTGGGACTTTCTTCGCCCTCAGGTTCGAGATTGATGATTTGAACTGCAATGTCAGCTTTGCTCTTTGCGGTGGCCCGAGGCTGCTTGGGCGGGCGCCCTCGAGGTCTTTTGGAGGCAAGTTCGGTTTCCGGTTCAGCACTTCGTTTCTTCGAGGGCAGAGCCTCTAGTTCATCTTTCGTGTCTAAAGCTTCGTCCCTTTCTACCATACAACAGTCACTGATTGGGGAGAATGGTGGCGCTTTTGGAGAAGAATCCGGCTTGTCAACTATAGCTGCTTGTGTCTCATCTGGGACCGGTGCTGCTTTGAGAAAAACACGTTGTCCGGGAGGCATAGCAAAAGTTAATGAGTGGCCATCAATGTCGATTATCTGGAGAAGACGTCAGTGCGGCCTTGCGTCAAATGGATGATGGAATATACCCTAGCCTCTTTTTCAACCAACGTTTTTGGCCTCGAAAACGATCGGGACCATTTCCAGACATCGCCCTTCTGGACAACCCCATGCTCGATAAGTGTGCTCAACTTGACTGCCGAGCTCTGGCCAGCAGTCAGAGCCCTATCCATCTTCTGCTTCTGCCCCCAGAACTCCTCGAATTCTTGCTCTTTGAACTTGTCAAACTTGCCGGCAGCTCTCTGCTGCACGGCCTCTTCAGCCTCGCGAACCCATTGGGGATCATAGCGTCCATTTTGAAGATCTAACTGGAAATGACGGATACCATCGCGCCAATGTTCGCCGTACCGCACGAAGGACTCGGGAAGAGGAGGGATCTTCGCATCTGGATCGTCTAGTGGTGGAAGGAGGTTTGGATGTGTGTCGGCAGGAAGTAAATCCAGGATTTGTTTCTTTTCATTTTCTTCAAGACACTCCCAGGCTTCGGGTAGAGCAAATAATTTCTAATCAATAACCAGCATCAGCATTGTTGCCCTAGGACACATCGGCCCATAGTCGGCTCAATAAATTTGGGCTGTGTAGCTCACCACTAGAGGTAAATCAATAAGCTGAGACTTGTCACTTGTCAACAGCTTCTCTTCCTCCCACCGATCCTTCGCGGCCCTCCTAGGATTTCTCTTCGGGTTGGCTTTTGTCGAGTCCATTAGGGAGAACCGGTTTGCCGCATCACTCGGCTCAGCTGCTTCAGCGGAAGAAGGCTGTCGACAAATTCTGACACATATTCATTAGTTCGTCATGGACTGGCAAATTCTTGCACCGGATAGGCTGTCACATTAATCAAGCCACTGATATAGGTAGGTAGTGTAACGCGTACCTAGCTGGCTGGCGTCTTGAACTGCCGATAGAGACCGCCTTGGGTCCGCGGGCCATTGTTATCGCTTGACGTGGAGCTCTCGGAGGAGAGATCAGAACGACGACGCAGCAAAATCACGAGAAGTGCAGACAAAATCCGTTTTATCAACGAATTCTTGAAGGAGCAGATATTGTGAGGTACACGGCTACTAGGATGGTCAAATCTACCCAGATTGCTAGGCTTGACGGTGAGACGCCACGGATGGTGGTGTTGGTGAAGCAATCTAGAGCTAATGTTGTAAGACAGGCCTGATGCTGGCAGCGTCTGTAGACGACGAACAGGTGAGTTGGCGCCTTTTTCGTGGCTACCTTTGACTCAATGTGCTAAATTCACTCATCTCTCAATAGGCCGAAACAGAGCTCTCCGAGATCAAAGGCCAAGTTAAGATGATCTTCCGACGCCTGAGCCGCAACTCAGCAGCGCAAGCGAGTATTGAGTCGGGCCAGTATAACCTACAGTAAACCTATTTTGCTTCACATTACCATATGACGAACAATACTGATGGTTTATCAAAATAGCTATCTCATTCAAAATGACGTCTGCTTCCTCTGTATATGCGATCGCTCATACCCCCGCAAACTTGCCTTCACCTATCTCTCAGACATCGCAACTGAGTTCACGAACACCTATTCCGAGTCGCAATACCTGTCCCCCAACCTACGGCCATATGCGTTTGTGGAATTCGACACATTCATCCAGCGCAGCAAGAAAACATACCAGGACAGCCGAGCGTCGGCCAACCTCGATCGTCTTAACGATGAGCTCCGTGACGTAACGAAGGTGATGACGAAAAATATTGAAGATCTGCTATACCGAGGCGATAGTTTGGAGCGTATGGGCGAACTGTCCGGCCGTCTGCGCGAAGACAGCAAGAAGTACAGGAAGGCCGCCGTGCGCATCAATTGGGAGCTGCTGTTGAAGCAGGTGAGTTATGTTGATCAAGTACGATCGTGACTAGGCTGACTTTTTCGCAGTATGGGCCATTCGCTGGCGTTGGGTTTATATTCATCTTCCTTATTTGGTGGCGCTTCGCCTAGGCCCGTCCGGCTTAGCGATGTCACATAATATCTGTCCGTAATCTGTATGCATAGTAATGTCTTTGATGGCTGCAGGACACCATCACCCTCCACCGCTGCGACTTGTACGCCCAACACATGTTCACTAATGAGCTAGACTCGCCACGATGAAAGGTTAATCAATAACTGTAAGGCAGTTGTTTTAGATCTCATCCTCCTCCTCATCAAAGTCATCTTCTTCTCCCATATCATATAAGATACGGCCACCCTCCCCAGGTCCACTTGCCTGTTGCGCATCGAAATACGGCAACACAACCCCCTCCCGATCCCTGCGCTGCCTCTCCGTAAGCCTCAACTCAAATGTAGACTCCGGCTCCTCTTCATCCCCAACCCCAGCCTCCTCAGGCGGCCGATAAAGCGGGTGATCATCTAACAGCGTCACAACCTCCTTGACCTGAGTGACCGGATACCTCGACGCCGGAGGGAGCAAATACCACTCCAGCACGCCCCTTCCACTCTTCCGCCTATACTCCATCTCCAAAACGACCCCACCGTCCGCCGAGTCCTTCCCAATCGGCTTATCCAGTCGTCCGAGGAGGACACCGTCCCGCTCTTCAGCCAGGCCGAAAACTGGCGGGACGAGGCTGCGGTCTCGCGCAGCCTTTTGGGCGAGTATGTGTGAAAAGGAGTGAAGCTTTATGACTGTTGTCGCGAGGTAGGTGAGGATTTTTAGGGGCGGAGGTGTGTAGGATGATTGCGCGGGCCGGCCGGGCGCATCTTGGTGGAAGGTGATTACGAGAGAGGAGTCGACTTTAGTAGTAGTTGGGCCGGAGGGGACAATAATTGAGCTGAGGAATGTGGACAGATGGAAGGCCTTGTCGAGTCGTGTCGAGTGGAGGAGGGGATTTACCGAGTCGATTAGGACGAGCCGCCCTGAGTTGGTGGTAGTGGTTAACTTGAGAGTCAATATTCACATACGTGTGGCGGGCCTAAGTTGCATACTGCGATTGGGATTGTTTGAGGATTCAAAATTACCGACGGCCTCGACTTCCTTGAGTATTTCCGAAGGGGTTTTGCGTCGAGCGGGGATGAAGGCGTCAACGCCCTCGAACGGCTTGAGGGTCTCGAATGCAATGAGAGTAACGTGGACTTTCGAGAGCTACATCAAATCAGCATAAAATTATCCTTCAATGGATATGGAGCAACTTACCCGGGCACGTCGGATATATTCCTTGACCAGCGGGGTGGCGGGTTGCTCCAAGGAATCCAGCAGCAACGTTAGTGGTGACGCAGTATCTCGGAGGCTCAACAGCTTCGAAATTAGCAGTAAATTATGCGTCTGTCGGTGCGATATATTAGAGGGCGCCATATTGGTTGCCCAGAATCAGAGACAGTAAATAAAACCTCTTGTAACAACGTGAGAGTATCAGTACTGGTACTGCGGGGTTTCAATGATTGACGTCGCAACTGAGGGGTGGTGGTTCGACTTCTCGGTGCAAAATATTTCCCAGCCGCCCGGGGCCGACCTTTCTCCCTTATTATTTATAGGACTGGACAGAGGCTCAGCGGAACGGGCCGCTTGCTTGCTGGCACCGGTGACCAGGAGCCTGGCACTGCTGCATGGAAATTATTGGAACTGTCGTAAAATTTGGACGATGGATTGATTACATTTCCGTAACCTCTTCAGTTTTGGCTCTGGTTTGAAAATTTGTGAAAAAGGATATGATTTTGCCCTGCTACTATAGCACTTTTACTTAACATCAAATAAAGTAAGGCAAACTCGAAATTTCTGGTACTATTACCTGGCGGGGCAAGCTAGGTACAATAGGAAAAAAAAAAAAGAAGTGCCTCCACGCGGGATTGAACCACGGACCTCTTGATATCACAGGATACAACTATTTAATGTTAGTCAAAATATTCAAGAGAATTCAAGACAAGTGAACAGAACATACGTCAAGCGCTCTACCACTGAGCTATAGAGGCGTCCGTATAAAAGACGCGATGCATACTTTGCTATTATCAGATTTCTCCTGGAAGATTAAGGTAATACTTAGGAAGATGGCAAAGACTTCTTTTGCCTTTGCATATGTAGTGCAAACCCATCACCTTGGGCGCCAGATAGCCTGGTAACCTAGGCTTTAATGACATGTATGTCACGCGTTGGGTTTTTTGGTTCGTTTTCTACATAGGGTAGTTCTTGCAGGTGGTTCTTGAACTCCTGTCTTCTTTCCAACAGTTGGGGATTCCAAAGTAATGGATAAGTCGGATTGATTCAAGACTAAACCTTGCCTCCTGCAAGACTTAGGATCTAGCTAGATACTTGAGTGATCCTATAGTGGTGTGCTAATGTTACAGAATAGAGTAGAATCATTGCCGCAGGCGGAAGTTATCACTGCAAGGGGAAGTCATTGCGCGAGCGGAAGTAGTTGCCTGATTCCTTAGGCCACTCAGTGACAGCAACCATGCATCCAGCTTCATTGAGGGTGGTGAATGAAATGAGAGTTCTCGGTTCCCATTACTTGCCAGGAATCTCAAATCATGTTAAATTTTAGTAAAGAAACCATAGCAGCAGGCCACCATTAAGAGTCGGACGAAGAAATGTGGCTATCTATAGTTCCCCTAGCCAGAATGGAGCAATGACTGATATTAACATTGTTGTCATTTGCATGAACCAGGAAGGCTTTCTGGAACCTGACAAGTGTTTAGCGGCCTGAGGAATCTTGACTTCTTTGTTAGTGTTGCTTGTTTGAAAGTCGCCAATGTACTTCAGAAGATTTAAAGAGGATTGTGGAAGGTATTTTGTTATCTGAACTGCTGCTGGATCGATGTACATGAAGGTAAAAAGGTTGTTGAAGGTCAAAGAGTTTCCAAACAACCTTGAGAGGTGAGTGATGTTCTTCTTATCAATTGAAGTTGGTCAGTGGTCCGTCGTGCCAGCAGGCGCAACAAAGGAGAAAAAAAGAAGTGCCTCCACGCGGGATTGAACCACGGACCTCTTGATGTCACATACAACTAGTTAAATATTAGTCAAATTACTCATGCAGATTTTACAGATGAAGACAGAACATACGTCAAGCGCTCTACCACTGAGCTATAGAGGCGTCTCTATGTCGAGAGGCGACTCGTAAATCAATGATCACCGGGCTGTACCAGGAAACTTAAAAGACCTAGTCTGCCTCGCATATGTCATCCCATGTCTGAGAGCATATCCTTGAGCTTTGGTGTCAAATGAAGTGCACGCGTTCCTAATTAACCCTACTAGATAGATCTTGCAGATGACTCTCTGTCTCCTTTCGAACCACTGGCCTTCATACATGTATGTACTGTTGGTGAAGGAACGAAGGACTGGTGAAACCCCCATAAGACCTCTTCTCTCGCTCAGGACCTCTTTGAGCAAGCAACCAACCTCTTATCTGCAAGCATGTCATTACCGAAGCAGTCCATTAATGGAAGTCATTGAATCGACTCTCTCTGTAAGACCTTCTACAAACCTTCTACAGTACCCCGACGCACAATCCTGCTAAGGAAGAATCCCCAGGGACATCATGGTTGATCCTGGACGTTATCGAAACGCTTATGAACCACGGCCAAGTGATCTTGTGTAGGTACAATCTGCTGGTTGAGTTTGGATGGACGAATAAGTACGACGAAGGGGCCGGTCTCTTTGCTCTCTCACCCGAGGTTACTGTGCAGCTGCTGGGCGATGTCCTGGTGTGTATGTTCTTTGCCTGCTTCCGTGCTTTTCTGCCCATAATTACCGCTCGCGTAGAAACCCAATCCTTCTCCGCAACGATCAGTCTCCCTTCTTCATCATCTTCTCTGTTCACCATCATCATCATCATCATCATCATCATCGTCATCATCCTGTAAATAAAGTATTTGCTCTTTGCTGATCTCGCCGCCAGTCCTGCCATTCCTGTGTTTTCATAGGACTCTCTGATCTCACTTTGTTGACTTCAGATTGGGCATGTACTCGTGACCAGGCCGCATGAGCTCTTACCCTTTTACTTTCCATTATTCACCAACATTTTACGCGAGCCAGGGCTGCTCACTACTTTCAAAGCCCGGGTGGGAGGGCTACTCGATTCCTCGAGGGGTCTCTTTCTAATCCAGTTACCTGTCACGTCGCTGTCGCAAGGCGACAACCCTTACGTCAGGTTCAGTGACAGGTAATGTTGCGATGACACAATGACCACCACTTCGCAAAACCCACCCTGGGTGTTGAAGAAAAAGGTTCTTGTTTATGCATTCGATCTCGATGTTTTTTGTGTTGCTCGCCTTAGTATTGACTATGATCAAACTGCCAGCCAAGGATCTATCTCCATTTCGATCACGGCAGATCTCGCTAACTTGAACGGCAGATCACAGGTGCTAACCTTGAATATTCCTCCAGAAAGAGTCAAGAAATGTGGTTTGGCGCGGAGAAGCAACAATGACCTCTGTCCACCCCGTTTGGTTCCCATGCTCCCGGCACCTGTCACCAATGTTTCAGCCGTCTCAACTTTGAGTATGAGCCTCGGTATGGCCGGCATTGTTCTTTGTCCGTCTAATATGGAGTCTCTAAGCCCAGCCGCACCAGGAGACTTGAAGTTTCACACATTTGCAAAGATCTGTCAATCCAAATTTCTCCGTGTACACTTTTCTGGACGACAATTTGTGAATAAAGAACTTGATAAGCTACAGAGTTTCTCCTATGCCCTGCGACAAAGAAGAGTCCAAACAGTATCTTACAACCACGCTCGCCATGGCGTGGTCCAGAAGGATTGGCGTGTCTTTAATCTGTCGCCCGATCCACCCCCATATTGGCAGCAGCCAGTTCCCGAGCAGGTGAATCAGGTAGATCCACCCTTATATTCTGAGCAGATTGTTGGAAAACGGCGCAGAGGTACTGTCTTCTCATCTCAGCGTCGTACGTGCTCTATCGTTCAATAGCTCAATGCAGTATAGACGCACGGTCGATATCACCTAACGACGAAGGACAAAAAAGACTGCTCCTTCCATCCCCTCGACCGATAGGCTCTCCGACCGAAGTGAATACGCCGAGTACTCTCTCCCCGTCACCATCCTCGATTCGCCCAACCTACTTTACGCGCGATCACACAGTGTGCAAGAGACTTGCGCTTCTTGAACATGAGCTCCGTGGTGTTTCCGATGACATGATTCGTGAACTATTAATTCGGTCAGGACGCCAACATCTGCTGGCCATACCAAAAGACATGGACCGTGACCTGTCATGCGAGTTTGAGAAAGTCAGATTTCCCGAGGTCGAGATGATTGAGCGTCGGCTCAAACGATATGTCGATAAGGTGATTGAGCGCCGGCTCGAACGATATGTCGATGGTGCCGTGAGCGAGTGTCGTGACCAGATTTACGATGTATACACAACGAACCAAGTCGAATTTGGTGAACAGGTCGACGATGGTAACTTCGAGGTACGCAACACAGCCAATGAATGTATGAGTGAATTGAAAGAACAGGCGCAAGGACATATGCTTGAGATGGAAGAACAAGCGCAACAGTACATGAAGGATATCGAGGATCAAGGAATCGAGGTTGAGATGTCTGCGAAGAAAAGGCTCGGGCGATGGTACAATGCTTCTGCTCGGTCCCTACTTGATAACAAGTCAAGTCCTAGCCATCAGCTGGGTACTGATACCAGGCGCAGTTCCATTTAAACTCTGTACTAGGCTTATATATATTTTTTGGAGTTGTCTTGTTGTAGTCTAGTTAGGTTCTTTGTTCTTCCACGGGAAAGGGTAGGTGGCTTGAATCCCATAACCACAAGTCCTAAGATAATGATAATAATAAAATAAGCAGATGTTGCACTAAACTTTTCATACAGCTAATTATAGAATTGACGGTATTACTGTAAGTAGTGTATTTATCTATCTGAACCTCTGAGATAGATTATTAAAAGGAGAGAAACTAGGGTATCTGCGAGCTAGACTATCTTTAACATAGAAGAACTAACTACACGCACGTGACTGCTATAACAGGACGAAGGCAGGCAGCCTAACACAGTAACATGGAGTACTAATAAATCCCCAAACCCAGTCGAAAATAATGTCACTTTGACCACAACCAAGGCTGGTGCCTCTCGAAGCAGGGCTGCGACGCTAGCACGAGCCAAAAAAGAAAGCCGCGTTACCGGCTCCAACCACCAACCGTACTATCTTGCACAAGCTTCAAACTTTCCCTGAAAACAGCAAAGCAACAATCTGAATCGCTATATTAATCTCAACTCAATATCCTGTCGAAGGCTAAATTGACCTGGCTTTGTTAAAGTCCTACCATTGATACCCTACCTTAAGTGGCCTCGTCTGTTGTACCGCATTTTCGAACCCGATTCACACGACGCCCAAAACTTCCCACCCACCACAATGGCAGAGCCACCAGCGAAGCGCCCACGTCGCGTTGATAGTTCGGCAATGTGGGATATGGAAGAGCGCAGGACACGATCGCCAGAGGCAGACTCAGCAGTAGACAAGGCTTCTCGGCGAGACACTCACATCGAGGACGGGCGACGAGACGGGCACCGCGAAGACAGGAGAAATCGATCTCGATCTAGGGATAGGCGGGAGAAACGGAGAGAGCGAAGTAGGTCTAGGGACTATAGGGACCGCGACCGCGACAGACGAGACCGGGATAGAGATAGTCGGGACAGATATAGCGAGCGTCGAGGTATGTATTCCCCAACGTTGAGATTATAGAATGCTGATCTGACTTCCTGGACAGGCTATCCTTCAAAAGGCGACAGATATCGCGACCGTTCCCGATCCCCTCTACGTAACGGCACTAGGGAAAGAGCATCACCACACCGCGGCTCAAGGGGCGACCGAAGAAATGATCGCAGAGATTACCGTGATCGCGCAAATGGCGTATCAGATTCCAAATCACGAACAGATCGCGGGACGGACGACACGGAGATGGACATTGATGACGCCAATGGGGAGGATGATGTCGAGGAGCTCATGCGGCGCAGCATGGGCTTCTCCAAGTTTAGAAGCACCAAAAACACAAAGGTTCCCGGAAATAACATTTACGGTGTGCGCAAGGAGAAGAAGACGGAATACAGACAATACATGAATCGCCAGGGAGGATTCAACAGGCCTCTCAGCCCTTCTCGGTGAAAAGAAGGCGCTCCATTTCTTGCGCGCCCTTCGAACAGCAGCACAAGACGCTTCGTCGCATCTTTACCATTACCCAGACAATTTGTCATCTTCTGGACCATTTATGCATTGTTGGAGTTGGAGCAGTTTCCTATATTCTGAATCTTTTCAACTTGGCCTTTCTGTATTTTTTTAAGCTTTCAGATACTCTCGATGCCACTGCATCGTCATTGCATCGATTTATTGAGTGGCCACAAGCTAGCCATCCTGGTGCTGACAACATACACTTTTCCTGACATATCTCAATATCTCAAAGACTGCCATCGGTCCTACTCCGAAGCTGTCGAGGAGAGCGGAAAGCACATGACCAAGTGACGTATGCCTATTTATCGTCCCTGGGCAACTCTTCGCCGTTCAAGATTCGACATAACTACACGGTGGCTTCCCTAACAGTCCTCGGATCTCAGATCACGCAGTACGCAAAGATGTCTGTATCAAGTGACCGTCGCGAAATTGTTATTGTAGGTATGACACGGTTACGTTGCCTCATGTTACCCCGCACAATCACAGGACATACTGGAAGACTATTCTAACGAATATGTTACAGGCGGTGGCATCATTGGATGTTGCTCTGCCTATTACCTAACGCGACATCCCTCCTTTGACTCCTCCCGACACTCGGTAACTCTTATTGAAGCGTCTGATATCGCCGGAGGAGCTTCAGGCAAAGCAGGTGGCCTTCTAGCGTTGTGGGCGTATCCAAGTAACATCGTCCCACTGAGCTACGAGCTTCATGCCGAGCTAGCTAAGGAACATAATGGCAAGGACAACTGGGGATATCGAGAGACCGGCTGCGCACAGTTGATCGCACGAGGTCGCCCGCTCAATGAGAAGAAAGGCACGGACGACAAACCTGGCAGTTCTCTTTCGCTCCAGAAACGTAGCGCGGCGGCTATGGATAGATTAAAAAAGGCCAAACTGCCCCAAGAATT